GAACACCCATTAATAATTAATTTTTTTTTTTTTATCAAATAGGGGCCCTTATTTTCAGTTGTTCTTTAAACCTCGCCTAGGCCCCCCGAATTCTCAGGAACGGGCCTGGGTGTAGCTCAACTGGTTCCGGAGGTGGTAAGTTGGTGCAAGGTTCTAGGATCGAATCCTGGCAGCCGAAGTGTGGGAATTTCAACTCCAATGAGGATTGGTTCCTTGTGGGCACCAGGTCCGGGTCCGCTACCTTAACGGGCCGTTGAGTTACCATGATTTACATTCCTCCATCAATCATTGTCGGGCCAAGGGATGGGGGCCCTGGGGGCAAAGGATTTCGCCTTTTTGGTGCAATTAAAAGACGGTTAATTGTGAATGAGTGGATGGGATAGTTTCACACGATTTCACAACTGAGTTATTTCACCCGGGAAATTCAGTTATCGAAGAAATCACTTCGCATTTTAATCTTCGGAGAACCACCACGCTCGGCTCTCTAGAAAATAGGGGGAGTAGATGATGGGGGCCAATTTAACAAGTTTGGGCCGGACTGCCAAACATAGGCTTGGCTGAGCTAAACAATACCAATGAATGGTTGTTCGGGAAAAAATGAGCCAGAAGCTCGCCTAGGAAGAGCCTAATAGTACTAGGCTCACCAGCAAAATAGTTCGCACAAGGTGGATATTCGCTACGGTTCAGGTTGCGTAAGAAAGAACAAAAGGTGTAGGTGCCGAGCTGACCAAAGAGCCGTCGGAAGGATGGATTTAACGATGTTCTCCGAAATAGCGAAATTATGCAAATTAGATGCGATCACCATGAAATTAGCACAAATCTTGTACAAAAATAAAATGAATAAAAAAAAGGAAAAAACCATTGAAAGAAAACCTCATATATAAGCGAATGCCTGAAACCCTTGTATGGTTACGTTCTTAAAATTGACATTTCTTCTCTTTTCTCAAATACTCTATGTTTTTAATATCTTTTTCGTACGCATTTCTACCGCCGCCGGCCCTAGGGCCCGGCGTCTGGTCAGCTCTCCGACGATAAAAAAAGTAGGATTTGGAAGAAGGTTTTGAATGTTTAGATCCTGTACCATCAATATTAAGAAGAACAAATTTAGTAAAAGATTATGTAGTCATGGTAGTGAAATTGATATTCTAAAACTCTATGATGTAATTTCAAATATCAATTCTCAAAAAAAAACAAAAAAGTTATTTGTGTTTACAATAATTTTCTTGTCTTGTATTTAATTTGAAAATAACTTTTGATCTTTACAATTTTAATTTCACTCACAATAACATACTTTAAATGCTAAATGAAAAATTACAAAATTTATGCAAGTGAAAGCCAAAAACAATATTTGTAAAAGATGATGTAAAGAAAAATGAAATTGGAAATAAGGGGAAAGTAAAAGACAAAGAAAATCTAATGTAATATATTATTGTCTTTCTCCAAATTTGGAGTGTGAACGAGCCGAACTGGCTTGTCTTGGCAGACTCGAGTTCATTTTGTCGAACTTGAGTTCGATGAGTTTCATTTTTTAGGCTCGAGCTCGAGCTCGAGCTCGAGCCAAGCTCATTTTGGAGTTTTTTCTATTATTTATAATTATTATTAAAAATTATTTAGATTATAATAAAAATTTACAAAATAAACAATAAACTAGAATTACATATATATTTTTAATATTTATATGTTCTATTAGAGTATACTATATTATATAACTCTTGTAATATTAGGATTCTATTAGTATTATATTACCTAAATTAGTATATTATCTTGTAATATTTCTCTATATAATGAATGAAAATCAACTCATAGCTTATGGGGTTTTTTTTTACGAAATTACCTATATTAGTATGTTATCTTTTAATATTTCTCTATATACATGCGAGTTTTCTATTGCTTCTAATTCTAATATGTTCTTTTTTATAGTATTTTATATTAATTATACAATAATTAAATAAAAAATAAAATAAAATAAGGCTCGCGAAAGCGGTTCGTGAGCTGACAAACAATTAAAAAATAGCTCGAGCGCGACTCATTGGAAAGCTCGAACTCGAAAAACTCAACTTTGAGTTTTTTTCGAGCCGGCTCATCAAGATCACGAGTCGGCTCAACTCGTTTACCACCCCTGCCCCAAATATAAAATTAAAGAAAAAAAAAAGAGAAAGAAAAGCCAGAAACAATATTTAGAAAAGATAATGTAGAGAAAGAAATAAAAATAATATTGTCGGACCCGCGCCGCACCGCAAAGCCATTAAAATATGCTACCGACACGCTACCTTCCGCAATGAATAATAAAAACACTTCTCTCTCACACAGTGAGTGTGAGATTGAGTGAGAGAGAGAGAGAGAAGTATACTTGTGTCAATTCATACAGAGAGACATATACAATAACAAGTATAGTGAGAGAAACAAAAGAAGACGACAAATTGAGGGGTTTTTGTTTTCCATGTGCCAGTGACCTAAAATACAGCCACCCATATACCATTATTTCTTACTTGCTCGGTTCAATCTCTCTCTCTCTCTCTCTCTCTCTCTCTCTCCCTACCCTTTCTCTGAATAATCTAGTTAATTGTGTTCGATGATAGTCAGAAGTGATTTTCAAGATTCTGTTTCAGATTAAAGGAAAGAAGAATCTTTGAAGAAGTTGGGGTAAGCTTTGTTCCTATTTTCAGTTTCTTGGATTTAAATAATTTTACTT